CCTTGACCAAAATTGGTGTGTTGAAGTCTCCTACTACTTTTGTGCAGCTATCTCTGCTTTCAGTGCTGTTAGAGTTTATATATTTTGGAGCTCTGTCGTTGGGTGCGTAAGTATTTATGAAACTTATGTCCTCCTGGTGTTTTGACCATTTTATCATTATATAGTGTCCTTCCTTATCCTTTGTGGTGGATTTTACTTTAAAATCTGTTTTGTCAGAAATTAATATCGCCACTCCTGCTCTTTTTTGAGTGTTGTTTGCTTGATGTATTTTTTCCATCCTTTGAGTTTTAGTTTGTGTCTTTAAATTGTGTGTCTTGTAGGCAGCATATAGATGAATCGTGGTTTTTTATCCACTCTCCCTCTCTCTGTCTCTTTATTTTTGCATTTAGTCCATTTACATTCAGCGTAGTTATTGATAGGTATGAGTTTAGTGCTGTCATTTGATGTCTTTTTTTGTGTGTTGTTCACAGATTCTTTGTTCTACTTAATTTTCTGTGCTGAGTCATTTTTCTTTATGTGTTTTCTTTTCATCTTTTTCGTTGTTGATTCTGGGTTTGCTTAGTCTTTATATTTTTCTAGTCTTCTATTTTGACTTGTAGGATTCTTAGTTCCCTTCGTGGTTACCTTAATATTCACCCGTATTTTTCTAAGTTTATACCAGTCTTTTTTTTTTCTTTATATCGCCCTGACTTCCTCTCAATATGAAAAATCTATGTCTACATTTCTTAAGTGCCTCTTTTTGTTTTAATGTTGTCATCTTTTACATATTGACATCTGTTTCCCTATTTTCCATGTTGTAGCTTTGATGTACTTTTGTGACTTCCCTATCTGGGTTGATATCTGGTTGCTCTGTCCCGTGTTCTAGTCTTGGATTGTTATCTGATGTTACTGATTTTCTAACTGGAGGACTCCTTTTAGTATTTCTTGTAGTTTTGGTTTTTTTTTTGCAAATTCCCTAAACTTCTGTTTATCTGGAAATGCCCTAATTTCACCATCATATTTGAGAGACAGTTTTGCTGGATATATTATTCTTGGCTGGCAGTTCTTTTTTTTCCTTCAAGGCTTTATATATGTCATCCCATTGCCTTCTTGCCTGTGTAGTTTATGCTGAGTAGTCTGAGCTTATTCTTTTTGACTGTCCTTTGTAGATGACTTTTCATTCATCCCTAGCCATTCTTAAAACTCTCTTTCTTTTTCATTTTGGTTAGTTTGATTATAATATGTCTTGGTGACTTTCTTTTGGGATCTACCTTATGTGGGGTTTGAGGAGCATCTTGGATAACTATCTTGTCATCTTTTACGATATCAGAGAAGTTTTCTGCCAACAAATCTTCAACAATTCTCTCTGTATTTTCTGTTATCCCCCCCACTCCATTCTGGTACTCCAATCACTCATAAGTTATTTCTCTTGATAGAGTCCCACATAATTCTTAAGGTTTTTTCATTTTTTAAAATCCTTTTATCTGATTTTTCCTCAAATAAGTTGGTATTTTATCTTAAAGCACCTCAAATAAGTTGGTGCTGTATCTTAAATCTCACTAATTCTGACTTCTATTGCCTCAGTTCTGCTCCTATGACTTTGTGTTGAGTTGTCTAATTCTGAAATTTTATTGTTAATCTTCTGGATTTCTGATTGCAGTCTCTCTCTGGATTCTTGCATCCTGTCAAATTTGTCACTATGCTCTTCTCTAATGTTTTTAATTTCCTCTATTGCGTGTTCTGCATTCTGATTAATTTCCTTCCTAATTTCTTGAAGAGTTCTGTATATTAATCTTTTGTATTCTGCCCCTGGTAATTCCAAGAAATTTTCTTCCTTTGGAAAATTTCTAGATTGTTTATTTTGGGAGCTTGCTGAAGCTATTCTGGATTGCCTGTTTATGTGATTTGATATTGACTGTTGTCTCCGAGCCATCAATAAATTATTTTATTTATTTATTGTATGTTTGCTTACTGTGTCCTAGCTTCTTGTTTTGTTTTGATATGCCCAAATAGGCTGCTCGTATGAGCTGGTTTGATTATTGGCACCTTTGAAGCTCTAATGTCCTATCACCAGTTGGTTAGATCCGTTATTAGATATGTGAGCTCACGAGTCCGCCCACTCCTCCTGTATGGATTCAGCTCAGGTACCTAGGTAGATAGCCACCAAGCATGTGGTGTAGGCTCTCACTTACAGTCCTAGACAGGCATGGGTTATTGATGTAGGCAGAGACATCTGGCTGCAGCAGGGGAACACACTCTGAGCAAGGCAGGGTGCTGATGGCCACCTCTGAGTTTCCAGGAAGAAGGCGTGTCCCTGTTCTCTAGAGCACTTAGGTGGGTGGGTTTTGCAGCTGGACTATGAGCACCTAATGTTGTTGGTTGTAAGGACTGGGGGATACCTGTTATTCATGGACCCCTCTCACAGGTGGCTAGGTGGCATGCGTGGAGTTACCAGTCCTGAGGCCCCTGATGTGGGTAGGTGAAGACCCTGCTTAATGGGCAGAGGAGTGTCAAATGTTAAGAACCTGCCACTTCACAGCCGAAACAGTTGAAGTTAGAGTTCTGGTATGTACGTTGTTGTACTGTTGTAATGAGGGACTATTCTGTTGAAATGGGTCCGCAGAAGTCTATGCAGGGGGAAAGGCACTCGAAGTCCATGGACCCCTTATGCCTGTGCCTAGGTAAAGGAGCTGTGCCTACCCTGGGTTCCTGGCTTAGGGGAGCTGGCAGTTTATTTTTTCCCCTGTTTGTTAATTTGTTCACTTTCCGATGCAGGGGGAATGGCTCTGGGCGTGTGATGGATCCTACTTCTGGCCCAGGAGAGTTGGCAATTGCTGAAGCTGGTCCACGACCCAGTGTAGAGCAGGGAGTGGGGAGGTAAATGGGAGAGAGGTTTTTTCCCTAAGGGGGGTGTTTTTGATCTGTGTGGTAAGCCGTACGCAAATACTTATCTTTTGCCTATCCAGGGCTACTTCTTACTGGTTCTGAGTCGCCGTGTAGACTCTCTGGCACTGGGTCTCTCTTGGTGCGGAAAACGCACCTCTGAAGCACTGTCGCTTGCCTGCCTCACTGCTCACCCACCAGCTGCTCAGGCCTGAAGGTCTCAGGCTGTTGCCAGGTCAGGTCTGGCAACTCTTCGATGCTTCCGAACCATTTCTCCCTCCCCTTGCCACTCAGTCTGGTTCCTCAACTCTACCTTTGACGTTCTGGGCTCCCAGATTGCCATATATAATTGAATCACTTGTTTTTTTGGGTCTTTGTTGTAAGAGGGTCCACCAGAAGCCTCTGACTTCTCCGCCATCTTGGCCCTGCCTCCATATTTGGTATTTTTAAAGAATAAAATGTGTAGTACTAGAAGTAGTACACATGTTTGTATAACTGTCTCATAAGCTACTAAAAACACCTTCCTAGGAGTGAATTTATGGGTCAAAGTATATGCACATTTGAAATTTTAATACTTATGACTGAGTAGGTTTTAGCAGATTGCATGTACAGCAATGATGTATAAGGAAATCTCTTTTCCTCTACCTTTTCTTAACTCTGGAGCCATGTTGTCGCAGTGGTTAAGAGCTGAGGCTCCTAACCAAAAGATCAGCAGTTTGAATTCACCAGCCACTCCTCGGAAGCCCTATGGGGGAATTCTGCTCTGTTCTTTAGGGTTGCTTTGAGTTGGAATCGACTCAATTGTAGTTGGTTTGGTTACAAGTTTTTCTTATCTCCATAATGCTGTTTTCTGTTTTTTAATAAACATCTTTTCCAATCTAAGGCAAATAATGCTTTATTTATAATCTGTATTTGTCCAGTTTCTAGTGAAATTGATCATACTTCAGTGTATTTATTCACATTCGTATTGCTTCTTTTGTAAAATTCATGTCATTTGCTCATTTTTATACTGAGATGTTTGCATTTTTTTATTTATAAGACTTGGTTGCATTTAGATGTTTAACTTTGTTACATTTGTTACAAAGCCCTGGTGGGATAGTTGTTAAGAGTTCGGCTGCTAACCAAAAGGTCTGCAGTTCAAATCCACCAGCTGCTCCTTGGAAACCCTACGAAGCGGTTCTACTTTGTCCTATAGGGTCGCTGTGAGTCGGAACTGACTTGATGGCACCTAACAAAAACAGCAACACGTGTTGCAGATTTTTCCCCTAAGTTTGTTATTTGTCTTTATTTATTTACCATGTAGAAATAAAATATGATAGGCCAAAAGTATCATTCTTTTCACTATGGTTTTATAAATGATTTTGCCACTTCGTGGTTATAAAATTATTCACTGTATTTTCTTCTAGTATTTTGATGGTTTTATTTTTAAATATTTGATATCTTGAGAATTTTTTTTGAGAACATTATTGAGGTTTGGTTGTAGCACTTTAAAAAAATTTCAGATAAGTACTAGTTTTTTCAATACCATTTACTGAATAACCTTTGACCCTCAACACTAATTTTTCTTAGTCTTTTTAAATTGAGGCAGAGTAAATATAAACCCCACAAATTTTAGGTGTAGCACACCATGAATTTTTATATACTTAAACGTGAGTTACTGCGTCTGTTTCATTGGATTGTTTTTACTTTACCTTATTAATTTATAAGAGCTCTTTGTAAATCCTGTGCCTACTAATTTGAAGTACCAATTTTATTATTATTAGCAATTAGTGAACATTTTCTAGTAATATTCCTATGCATATTTAGACATATGGACCTTTCCACACTTGTTTTTTTAACCTGCTCCCTAATAAACAATGTTTTATAGACTTTGCTAGATTTCTACTTATACTTGGTTTGGTTTCTGGATTTTCATCCTATTTTATTTATCTTTTTTAAAAAAACTTAAAATTTTACATGGGCAATGTGAGACATTTTGGAGAAATGTGGTAAGTGGGAACTATTGTATTGGCCACTTAGGAACATTATTTTGTGAGTTGTGTAACTTTACATTTTGAATTTATACTGAATGGAGATGAATTTTAAGGTGACTCCTTTTTTTTAAGCCTAATTAATCTTTATATTTTTGCCTTCAACAGCTAGAAAAAGTCCTACAGCAAGGAGACATTGGAGAATGTGCAGAACCATATATGGTTTTCAAAGAAGCAGATGCTGCCAAGGTAAAATGTCGTATCTTTCATTTTCCGCACATTATTACTATTGTAAGTTGGCTATAGCGCCGTTATTAGCTCTGCCTGCTACTATTGTAATTTGGAAGAATAGTATATATAACATGTTAAAGAATTTCACTGCTAATTCCTTTTTTTTCTATTGACCTAGCTGCCTTCTTCCTTTCTTCTTTGTTTGCTTTGTCATGTAGCTTTCATCTGTGCTGTTCTGTTCTTTATTTGCATCAAATATTTTTTCCGTCCTTTCACTTTCAACCTATTTGTGTCCTTGGGTATAAGCTGTGTCTCTTGTAAACAGCCTATAGTTGAATCATGTAACTTCCCTTCTATTCCAATCTTCTTGAGGCTTTTCATCAAGAAAGGGTGTTGGATTTTATCAAATGCTTTTCTTGCATCCATAAAGACGATCATGTGGTTCTTTCCCTTTGTTCTGTTGACATGGTGTATTACATCAATTGATTTTCTAGTGATAAATCATTCTTGCATTTCTGGAATAAAGTCCACTCGGTCATGGTATATTGTTCTTTTAATATGCTGTTGGATTTATTGGCTAGTATTTTGTTGAGAATTTTTGCATCTATATTCAGAAGGGATATTGGCCTGTAGTTTTTTTTTTTTTTTCCTTATGGTGTTCTTGTCTTGTTTTGGTATCAGGGTTATGTTTGCTTCGTAGAATGGGGAGTGTTCCTTTCTTCGCTATCTTTTGGAAGAGTTTGAACAGGATTAGTGTCAGTTCTTCTCTGAATGTTTGGTAGAATTCCCTAGTGAAGCCATCTGGTCCAGGAATTTATTTTTGTTGTTGGGAGGTTTTTTTGATCACTGATTCAGTATGTTTACTTGTTATGGGTCTGTTGAGATTTTCTATTTCCTCTTGAGTCAGTTTGGGTATGTTGTGTGCTTCTAAGCATTTGTCTGTTTCATCTAGTAATCCAGTTTATTACCATATGGTTGTTCATAATATTCTGTCATAATTCTGTTTATTTCTGTTGGGTCAGTTGTAATGTCTCCTTTTTCATTTCTTATTTTGTTTATTTACATCTTTTCTCTTTGTTAGTCTAGCTAAAGGTTTGTCAATTTCATGGATCTTTTTAAGGAACAAATTTGTAGTTTTGTTGATTCTCCCTATTTTTCTGTTTTCAATTTCATTTATTTCTGTTCTGATCTTTGTTATTTCTTTTCTTGTGGTAGGTTTAGGCTTAGTTTGCTGTTCTCTTTCTAGTTCCTCAAGTTGTAGAGTTAGGCTGTTAATTTGAGATCTTTCTTCTTTTTTTCATGTAAGCGTTTATTGTTGTAAGTTTTCCTTCTGAGTACTGCCTTTGTTGCAGCCCATACATTTTGGTATGTTGTGCTTTAATTTTCATGTGATTCTAAGGAATTTGTGATTATTGATGTTTTCCTTGACCCACTGGTAGTTTAATAGTGTATTTAATTTCCCTATGTTTGCGTATTTTCGAGTTTTTTTTTCTTCCTGTTATCAATTTCTAGTTTCATTCCATTGTGGTCAGAGAAGATACTTTGTATGATTTTAGTCTTTTTAAATTTATTGAGACTTGCCTTATAACCTAACATGTGGTCTCTCCTGGAAAATGATCCACGTGCACTGGAGTAGAATATATTATGCTGTTTTTGGTTGAAGTGTTCCACGTATGTCTGTTAAGTCTAGTTGATTTATAATGTCATTCAGGTCCTCTGTTTCCTTGTTGATTTTCCTTCTAGGCGTTCTGTCCAGTACTGAAAGTGTTGTATTAAAGTCCCCAACTGTTACTGTAGTACTATCTATTTCTCCCCTCAAAGTCCCCAACTATTACTGTAGTACTATCTGTTTCTCCACTCAATTCTGTCAGTGTTTGCTTTATATATTTAGATGCTCTCATGTTGGGCACACATATATTTATGATTGTTAAATCTTCTTGACAAATTGACTCTTTTATTACTATATAATGTCCATCTTTAACTCTTCTAACAGATTTTATCTTAATGTCTGCTTTGTCTGATATTAAGATTGCTACTCCAGCTGTCTTCCGGTTATTACTTGCATGAAATATTTTTTTCCATCCTTTCATTTTCAGCCTATTTGTGTCCTTGGGTCTAAGGTGTATCTCTTGTAAACAGTGCTGTTCTATTCTTTAAAATCTCCTGTATCCCAAAACTAATTGGTTTTTTAAATTTTTTTTCTTGGAAAGGACTTCATTAATTCAGTTTAAATTTAATTAAAAATTTTCCTTTATTTACAAAATAGTGGTATTGATGGAACTCCTCCTAAAAAAACAAAAATTCCAGGCCTTCATCTGGCTGCAAATGATTAAGAAATATCATAAAAATAGAAAATACATTATCTTTTGTCATAAGATAAACTTCTATGGTGAAAAAACTGGTGAGGATAACAGGCGATCCTTGGTTCTGTGAACATAAGATTTGACACATGAGACAGCCAGCAGAAGTATGCTTGAGGAATAGTGTACTTTTTATACTAATGTGGCTGTATGTGAGCACATGATGTCCTTCTTTGACCCCTGGGTATCTCGTTGAATTCAGGCTAAAAGTATTACACCTTTCCCCAAGTTGTCATTTTACGAATGAAGTATGCTTTGTTATATGAAGAGCCCTGGTGGTACAGTGTTTTAGAGCTTGGCTGCTAACCAAAGGATCGGCAGTTCAAATCCACCAGCCACTCTTTGGAAACCCTATGGGGCAGTTCTAGTCAGTCCTATAGGGTTGCTATGAGTCAGAATCGACACAGTGGTAATGGATTTGTTATATGGAACACATAGGTGTAAGAGCAGCTTATTCCACTCTTCCCTTACTTATCTGCATTGGCTAAAGTACAGTTGGTATCTAGGCTCTTAAAGCAAGAACCTATTTTGGAGGTAGAATACACCTGGCAATCAATAGTGCTACCATTTAGCTATCCTTCCATCTTTTCCCAGCCCTCATTCCCAAAGTAGAATGTTGTCATCAGAGTCTACCTTGCCAGTGTTCTATATAGAAATAATATGTGAGTGATTTGGTTTAGATTTTCACTCTTGGACCGTTGCTTTGCTATTGTGGGCCACCTTAGTGTTTATTTCCAGAGAAGCCTAAAAATTGAGTCAGCTTCAAGATGTCTGCCACATATGCGTGTACTGTTTGAACCATGAGTCTTTTTACAGAGTTCAGTCTTCTTACGATATTTTGGCCTTTGTTTCCTTTATCACAACTTCGAACTTATTTATCACTGACCCCACCACCACCTCAAAGATTGCCATAAATTAGGGATTATTTCACATTGGCTCCGTTGCTTTCATCTAGAGTAACAAAATTTAACAAGTCATAAAATAGAAAATTTTTGTAATTAGCAGTTGTTGACTGGAACATGACAATGTTTGCTTTCCTAAAATAGCACTTGCAATAGAGAAACGTATTTGGCACTTTGTCTCCTTTCTTTTCTTCCAAGATGATATAATCACAAACAGAAATTTCTAAGACTACTCTACACATACATTTGTAAAATGTGGTGAGATCGTTCAGTGTTAATTGATATCTGAAAGGTACAGGTTATTTTTCTGTCTTTGCTGAGAACTGTGAAGTCTTAACCTCTCCCTTTGTATAGTATGAAATTGCCTTTAATTGATTTCTTTTGAGCGTAATCATATAATATGTCAAATTCTGTTTTGCAGAACAAGGAAAAACTGGAGAAGTTGAAAAGTCAAGCAGATCAGTTTTGCCAAAGACTTGGGAAATATCGCATGCCTTTTGCTTGGACTGCAATTCATTTAATGAATATTGTTAGCAGTGCTGGAAGTTTGGAAAGAGATTCTACAGAAGTAGAAATCAACACTGGAGGTAGGAGTGCTTCATATAAAGTAATCTAAATGTGTATTTTTTTTTCCCTTTTTCTTACATAGGCTTGTTTTATTTATAGGCTTTGCGGTGAGATAAGGTATAAAAAGTGTTTTTTTTTTTGTATTTTTTGGTGAAATATACACAGCAAAACATGCTCCCATTCAAGGATTTTTACACATAATGTTCAGTGACATTGGTTGCGTTCTTTACATGTGTCTCATTATTTTCGTTCTAGTTGTTTCATTCCCATTAACTTCGTCTCACTGCCCTCCAAGCTTCTCATCTGTGCTTTAGAGTAACTGTTGTCCATTTGGTGTCATGTAGATAATTTTTTAGAAGAGCGTAGTACTCAAGGGTAACAGTCTTTTTGAGCTATCCTGCTATTTAGTTAAAAGCTAACTCCAGAGGGCCTTCTTTTCTCTTTAATAGCTTAATACTGTTAAGAAGACAGTACTCCCCAAATTAATGTATAGATTGAGTGCAGTTCCTATCAAAATCCCAGCTGGTTTTGGGTAGAAATTGAGAGCTGACCCTAAAATTCATATGGAAATGCAAGGGACCCAAAATAGCCAAAACAACTTTGAAAAAAGAAGAAAAAGGTGGAGGACTCACACTTTCTTATTTCAAAATTTACTACAAAGCTACAGAAATCAAGAGAGTGTCATACTGGCATGAGGATAGATATATAGATCCATGGAATAGAATTGAGAGTCCAAAAATAAACCCGTACATCTATGGTCAAGTTTGACAAGAGTTCTAGGACAATTCATTGGGAGAAAAATAGTCTCCACAAATGGTGCTGGGACAACTGAATATTTTCTTATATTATTGATTTATAGTTTAATTCCATTGTTCTTAGAGAACATACTATTTGATTTCAGTCTTTTAAAATTGTGTCTTATTTTATCATTTATCATCTGTCCTGGAGAATGTTCTGTATGCGCTTGAGGATGCTATATATTCTTCTGTTGTTTGGTGGAGTTTTCTGTAGATATCTGTTAAGTCCAGTTTTTTTATGGTATTGTTCAAGTCTTCCGTTTCCTTGTTGATCTCTCTAGTTCTTCTGTTGGTTTTAAATATTTCAGTTATCTTGCAGAAACTTTGCATGCAAGTTTACCTTAAAATTCTGTTTCAAACTCAAGTGATGAGACTGAGGGACCATTAAATGGTGATTAAAATTTCCAATGTGGTAAATATTTCGTAGTAAATACCTAGTTCTTCTATAGCTGTTCTTTATAGACCATCTTTGATCATATATATAAATTTTTATGTGATATGGACTTAGTTTTACCTTGGTAAAGTAGTAAAAAGGTAACCAAAAGGTTAGTGGTAGTGTTGCATTACTGTTCTCTCCAGAAGTGAAATTTTTCTACCCTAATCAGTATGTTGACTGGATAATTTTCAACTTTGGTGGATTGTTTTCTGTTTATAGAAAACTGATTTAAAATAAATTTTAAATATCATGAAAATGAATATCTAATTTTTTTTACGTAGAACGAAAAGGGTCTTGGTCAGAGAGGAGGAATTCTAGTATTGTTGGCAGACGATCACTTGAAAGGACAACAAGTGGAGATGATGCTTGTAACCTGACCAGCTTTCGACCTGCTACTCTCACAGTGACAAATTTTTTTAAGCAGGTATAGTTCTGTCATGTAGGAATTCTGGGGACATATTTGTACATTTTGGTTTCATAAAAGTAATTACATGTAGTTATTGATTGTGATTTCAAGGAATTAAAAAAAGTTAAGAATAATAAAAACTATAAGAATAAAAATAATAATTTACATTTGTTTTATTATCATTATGTGTTTAAATGTTGACATTGGCTAATAATGCATCAGAATCAGTCCTTCACATGTATATCCTATTTATCAATAGTAATATTTTAACTTTTCTTAAACCTTGATGGTTTATGAATTTTCTTAGTCTGAGTGAGTGCTGGTTACATCTGTCTTCCCCACCCCAGTTTTTTTCTGGCCTAAACTACCATATCCATGCTATATGAAATAGAACTTTCAGGCCTAATAGTGCATTTCTGTGCTAAAATGCACTAAATATTAATTTTAGCGGTTAATTTATACATTCAAGAAGTTCTTCACCAAGGGTATTTTATTCTTTGCAAATCTATTCTCTCTTCCTCAAATCTTAAGTTAAATCAGTGTTTTTCAAATGCAGGTCATGATCTGTTGGTGGTAATGAAAATCAGTTTGGTAGATAACACTCAGCTTAAAACAAACTGTAGAGTAGAGTAAGTAACAGTGCATTGCACACACATGTTACCCATTGCCATCAAGTTGATGCTGATTTGTGATGACCTTATAGGACAAAGTAGAACTGCCCCATAGGGTTTCCACGGGGTGGCTGGTGGATTCAAACTGCTGTCCTTTTGATTAGCAGCCGAACACTTAACCACTGCGTCACCAGGACTCCGCATTGCGCATAGTGAGGATAAGTATTGCTTTAGTGAGCCTTTTTTATTTTCAGTTTTTGTGTGTGCACGTGTATGTGTATGTTCATACTGGATAGCTGTATAAAATAGATTTTATATTGCAAATCAAGATCAGAAAAATTTAAGTCTTTGTTAAGTGGCCAGATGATCCAAACCATATAAAAATGGGAAAAAACTTGGATTAGTATGAAAAACCAGAGAAAGTTACCGTCCATGTATTTTGGACCAGATTAAGAATTAATTCAAAATTCTTCTTCTGAGAAATGCATTAGGTGTTACTCTAAAGAAGAGGAGGAAATCCTGGCTTACTGTTACCTTGTAACTTGAGAGGGTGAGGGTTGAGGACAATATATGCTGTGTAATGGCAGATAGCAATACAGTTGAAGCCCTCTTTATTGTTACATATTAGTAACATTATAGACATGTGTCTGAGAGACTAAATTGGAAAAAAACTAGAGACTCAGATGGAAATAAACTAGTTGATAAGCATCTGAAATGGTAAGAGTCTTTTTATTATGAGCCGTGGTATCAAGAAAGAGTCTTGATAAGGCCACAGTGGTACTTGAATGAGATGATAGGCCCAATACAGTTGTGGAAATGAGACAGTAGATTTTCCAGATACAATGACAAAAGCTAGCAGATAAGACATTTACCTCTCTTTCCACATTTTCAGCTACTATGTCACTTTTCCTGCCACTATTTCCATGGTTCTCTTTTTAGACTGCTATATCACTGAACTGGCATTGTAAACTTAAATCAATGAGTTACCCATCCACCTGTCTCTTAATTCACCCAGCCACTCATTTATCCAACAAATATTTTTTGAACATTTACCATGTACTGGTACTGGAGATAGGCAACTGGAAACCAGCACAATGTGATTGTGAAAACTTAAAAATAAATAAGTGATTGCTGGAAACATAAAGCAGTGGAAAGCATTTACACTTTAATTTCTACAGTTCTGTATTTTTTTTTTAACTATGAGAATTGCTGTTTTTATAGTATTTTTAAGTGGCTAGAAAATTATGTATCAGGGAAATGCAAATAAGAAAGCAGAAATCGTAGTTTTAATAAGGTAGAATTCAAGGTATCAATTTCTCAAAAATGAGACATAGAAGACAGTGTTTTCAAATTGATGAAAGATTATCCTCCACAGTGAGTACACAATAATCATTAATGTTTATGTATATATTTGAAATATGTCAAGTAAAAATTATTAAAAATACATGGAGATTAAAAAAAAAAATCAAACCTACTCAGTAGTTTTAGGAAACTTGTTCTATTTGTTGACAGGTATGTAAATTATCTATTGCCTCAGTGGCACAAAACCCTAAACCTGTGAAGTGGAGGAGGAGGTTGTCAGCTGGCCTGCTCCACTGAAGTAGGCTTGTTCACATGTTTGGAAGTTGGCCGAGGGTTAGTTGATTTAGATTGCCTTCTGCTGGGAAGACTGAGGTGAATCTGCTGTATTACAGATGTCTCTCAACTTCTGCTTTCATCCTCTAGCAGTCTAGCTTGGTCAGGTTCTCATAGCAGCAGCGGAAGTTCAAGAAAGAGGGCAAGCTTAATTGTGCAGAGTATTTTTTCAAGTCTCTGTATGTATTGCATTTGCTTATTGGTCAAAGCAAGTAACATGGCCAAGCTAGGGGAGAGAATTTTGCCCCACTCACCAAAAGGCATGGAAATAGATAGGAAGTAAAAAGTCGAAGTCAATATATGATCAATTTGACAGGTAAAGTAGACAAAAATAACTAACTCTGGAGATAATCTGAATGTGTTATAAATAAAGTTCATTTCAAGATCTATACTAATTCTATGCCCAAAAGAGAGGATACACTGTTTTAACAACTGATGGAACATTTAAAAATTAGTCATGTATTAGGTCACTGAAAAAAAATCTTAATAGTCACATTTTCGAACCATACTCAGTAAAATTAAAAACTATTTGTAAAAATATTAACATCTCCAACCACTTAGGAAATTCAAAATCATTTTCCTAAATAATAATATCATTTTCCTAATAATAATAAGATAAAAGAAGTCAGTTCCGTACCCTATTTAGAATATAGGAAGAGCCCTGGTGATGCAGTTCTGTTCGGTCCTATAGGGTCACTATGAGTCGGAATCGACTTGACGGCAGCAGGTTTGTTTGTTTTTGTGGTTTATTTAGAGCATAATAGTGAACAAATGTGATATGGCTCAAGGGGGAGCTCACAGCCTTAAATATGTTTATTACTAAATAAGATAAAAATATATGAACATTAAACACACGAACATTAAAAACAATAAAACATTATAAGCAGAAGGATTGGATTAATAAAATCCAAAGACTGACTTTTGAATAAAGGAATAAAGTCAATAAATTCTCAGGTATTTTAATTGTAAGCTAAAAAGAAAATATTAATGTTGAATTTAAAAACCTGTATTCATTTTTTTTGTCTCTTTCCCCATTGATTGAGGTACTTTTAAGAGTTTTCTTTCTGGTCTTAGTATCAGGATAGTTATGCTTTTCCTGAACAGATTTATGTTATTTCACTTTTTAAAATTTTATTTAGTCAATGCTGTAGATTTTGCATTTGATTGTACTTCCCTTTAGAATTTGGTGATATAACACTGAAAAAACAAATATGAAATCAGCTGTAACATTGTTTATCAGACTGTCATATATTTTTATATTTGTCTGTTTTACCCTTTTGTTTTTCCTTTTCATCTACCTTAAACTTGTATTGTTTTGCTATCTTTTAGGGTATCCTATAATACCTTGTAGGCATAAAAAACAGGCTATAAATAAATACATAAGGGAGCCCTGCTGGCAAACTGGTTAACGTATAACCAAAAGGTTGGCAGTTTGAGCTCCACGGGAGAAGGATGTGGCAGTCTGCTTCCATAAAGATTTATAGCATTGGAAATCCTACGGAGCAGTTCTTCTCTGTCCTGTAGGGTCACTATGAGTCAGAATCGACTTGATGGCAATGGGTTTGGTTTTGGGTTTTTTAAGTAAATACATACAATTAAAAAATAGGTGATAATATTATCAATCCTAATAAAATTTGATAGCACAAAAAGGTAAGGAAATAAATCAACATGGTATTTATAATTATATTAATTTATTTTTATTCTTACTGAACTGTAGGAATCAGGGCAGGATTATTATCGGGAATATAAATTCATTTTAAATCTACTATGTTTGTTTTATTGAATTCTTTTTTCCTGTATCTATGAAATCAGGAAGGAGACCGCTTAAGTGATGAAGATTTGTACAAATTCCTTGCTGATATGAGAAGGCCGTCTTCTGTTTTACGGCGACTAAGACCTATTACAGGTATTTTTTCATTTTGAATAGATGTGATTAAAACTATTACCATCACTAATATAATAACACTGTTTATAATATGTGCTCCTTTTGTTTTCCTCTGTCTGGTTCATATATCTTTCTGTCTTCGATGCCTGTCATTCTTCTTCTTTATCTCATTTATCTACTATCATGTTATTTAACAATTAGAATGCAGGATTCAGTATCCTTGATAATTTGAGTATTGGGATTATTTTCTAGCAGAAAAAATAAAGTACATGGAATGATACTAGAAACAGACTTATATTATGCTGGAGGAAACCATTCTAGGGTAAAATTGTTTTGAAGCCTGCCGTGCCTATATTTAACCTTTCATTTAACTTTTGAAATGTTGACTTGTTTCTAGGCTAGATCCCCCCTTCTTTTTCCTTCATTCTCCTTTTTTGCTTTTTTCTTCCCTTGTTGCCGTTCATTCATTCAGTAACTGTTTATATCTGTATCAGTAATTTTACAGGTTTGAGACTTGTTAAAATGAACTAACTTAGAGATCTGAGATAATAGTTTTGGTTTGTGTAGTATTCTTCTCAGGCTTCTAGTAAAAATAGGATCTAAATCCTTCCAAAAATGTTTTTTAAATGAATTTTTTATTTATTATGTTTACCCTGTTTTTATAATATTATGCAGCTCAGCTGAAAATAGACATTTCTCCTGCACCTGAAAATCCACATTATTGCCTAACCCCAGAACTGCTTCAAGTAAAGCTTTACCCTGATAGTAGAGTTAGACCTACCAGAGAAATTTTGGAGTTTCCTGCCAGGGATGTCTATGTTCCAAACACTACTTACAGGTAAGACATTTTAATTTTGGAGACTTGTGAAATAAAATAATAGGTATTCTAATACTAAAGTAGAACTAGAATGAAAATTTACAAAAGTGACTTTGTTACTTATTCCATTTATTACTGTACAATTTAATTTTTTTATTAATAACCATCATTTATTAAACATTTACTGTGTTCCAGGTATAATGATAATTACCTTACATACATTATCTTATTTAATCCTTACAGTATGAGGTAGGTGTTACCTTCATTTTAGATAGAGATGAGTAAACTGAGGGATAGAGAGGTTAAAAATTTTGCTGAGCTTCACACATTTAGTGTGGTAAAGTAGCATTTGAATCCTGGTCTGTTAGGTTAAAACATCTGAACTCCTGATTACTTTGCTGTATTTCCTCAAATGTTCTTATTAGCAGAATATAGCATTATACGTGACTCGTATTTATGCACCTGCATTATATTCTAACAATTAATCAAAAAATATGTATCTATTGAATATACACTGTTTAGAGAGTACTTGATCCAAGGCTACAACAAGCTTTTCAGGTTGAACATTATCCAACTCCAGGAGTATGATTTACATATATTCCTTATGAGTGATATTCCCTGGATTTGTGAATGCTGAAACCATAACTTGATATGTCTGCTAGATATCCGACAGAGTAGCTCAAACATAAGATTCTAAAAAAGAACTCTTGATTTTCACCCCAGACTTCCCTATGTTGGTATATTTCATCACCATTTACCCAGTTCCTCAGGCCAAAATTGTAGAACTCATAATTTCTTTCCTTATTCTCACATTTACTCTGTCAACAAATGTTGTTGGCTCTGCTTTTAAGATGTAACTCACTTCCAATATTTCTTACCACCTCCACCTTTAAAACTCTAGTCTAAGTCACCATCATGTAGATCAGCGCTGTCCAATAAAGATGTAGTGGGAACTATATTTGTAATTCGAAAATGTTTTGTTGCCATATTAAAAAAAGTAAGAGGAAACAATTATTTCAAGATAAAAATAAAAACTATAAAAAAATTATTAATGAGATATCTTTCTTTTCTACTGAAAGTTTTCAAAATTTGTTGTGTGCTTTATACTGAAAATACATCTCATTTCAGAGAGAGCCACGTTTCAAATGCTCAGTAGCCCCATGGGTTCCTTATTTAGACATATAGCTGCTTATATGTCACTCCTCGAGAGTCCTATCCTGATCACCCTAACTAAAAAGGCCCAGTGCCTCTTTCCTCTTCTTTATATTATTGTTCTGATATATCATCTGCCATTATAATATGTAGTTATATGATTACTTTTGTCTTCCTCATTAGAATATAATTAATGTAAAGGACAGGACTTGTCTAGTTTTTAAAATCATTTTATTTCCACCTTTTAGACCAGTGTCCTAGCACATAGAAGACACACCGTAAATATTTATTTAATGAAAAAAGAAATAAGAAACTGTATTGCAGAAAGATGTTTACCTGTGTTTTACTGACTGCAAGAAGGCATTCGATTGTGTACATCATAGTGAATTGTGGATAACATTACTAAGAATAGGAATTCTTAATCAAGAGGCAGTCATTCTAACAGAATGAAAGGATACTGTGTGGTTTAAAATCAGAATAGTTGTGTGTCAGGGTCGTATCCTTTCACCTTACTTTTTCAGTCTGTGTGTGGAAAAGATAATCTGAGAAGCTGGACTATATGAAGATGAATGCGGCATCAGGATTGGAGGAAGACTCATTAACAACCTGTGATATACAGATGACATAACCTTGCTTGCCAAAAGTGAATGTAACTCAAAGCACTTACTGTTGAAGGTGAAAACATCACAGCCTTCAGTATGGATTACACTTGAATATAAAGGAAAAGAAAAATCTCACAACTGAACAAATAAACAACATTATGATAAATGAAGACAAAAATGAAGTTGTTAAGGATTTCATTTTACTTGGATCAACAGTCAACACTTGTGGAAGCAGCAGTCAAGAAATTAAATGACAACTGAACCAAAGCAAAAGCTAAGAAGTTTCCTGGATACATCCAAACACTTTGAGGGACACAGTAGCTGGAGCTGGGGCCTGGGGACCATAGTTTCGAGAGACATCTAGGTCAATTGGCATAACAAAGTTTATTAAGAAAATATTCTACATCCCACTTTGCTGAATGGCGTCTGGGGTCTTGAAAGCTTATGAGCGGCCATCTAAGATGCACCAATTGGTCCCATCCCACTTGGAGCAAAGGAGAATGAAGAAAACCAGACACAAGGAAAATATTAGCCCAAGAGACTGAAAAAACCAAATCAAACCCATGCTGTCAAGTCAATTTTGACTCATAGTGACCCTATAGGAGAGAGTAGAACTGCCCCATAGGGTTTCCAAGGAGCGACTGGTGAATTCTAACTGCTGACATTTTAGTAAGCAGCCGAGCTGTTAACCACTGTGCTACCGGTGCTCCCAAGAGACTAAAGGATCACATAAACCAGAGACTCCACTAGCCTGAGACCAGAAGAACTAGATGGTGCTTAGCTACCACCATGACTGCCCTGATGGAACACAACTGAGAGTCCCAGATAGAGTGGGAGAAAAGTGTGGAGCAGAACTCAGATTCACATAAAAAGACCAGACTTAATGGTTTGACAGAGACTGGAGGAATCCTGAAACTATGACCCCGGACACTGTTAACCCAGAACTGAAACCATTCCCGAGGCCCACTTTTCAGACGAAGATTAGACAGGATTATACAACAAAAAATAATACACGTGAGGAGTGTGCTTCTTAGTTCAATCAGATACACGAGACCAGATGGGCAGCTTCTGTTCAGAGACAGGTTGAGAAGGCAGGAAGGGACAGGAACTGGTTGAATGGACACAGGGAACCCGAGATGGAAAGGGGGAGTGTGCTGTCACATTGTGAGGATTGCAGCTAATGTCACAAAACGGTATGTGTATAAATTTTTGTATGAGAAATTAACTTTAACTGTAAACTTTCACCTAAAGCACAATTTCAAAAAAGAGAAATCAAATGACATATTTCATTGGGCAAATCTGCTGCAAAAAACCTCTTTAAAGGGCTAAAAAGCAAAGATGTCACATTGATGAGGAGGTTATCTGTCACAAGCCATGGTCTTTTCAGTTGCCTTATAGCCTGTGGAAGCTGGACAGTGAAAAAAGAAGACAGAAGAATTGATGCATTTGAATTGTGGTATTGGTGAGGAATATTGAATACACCATGGACTGCCAGAAGAGCAAACAAATCAGTCTTAGAAGAAATACAACCGGAATGTTCTTTAGAAGTGAGGATAGTGAGATTTCATCATTGGACACGTCGTTAGGAAAGACCACTAGCTAGAAAGGACATAATGGTTGGTAGAGGGTCAGCGAAAACAAGGACAACCCTCAATGAGATGGATTGACACAATAGCCTCAACAATGGGCTCAAACGTATCAAAGATCATGGAGATGGCACAGGACTGGGCAACATTTTGTTCTATTATACATAAGGTCATCCTGAGTTGGACCCAACCGATGGCAATTAGTAATAACATTAAGAACTGTCTTAGTTATCTAATGCTGCTATAACAGAAATACCAAAAGTAGATGGCTTTAGCAAAGAGAAATTTATTCTCACACAGTCTAGTAGGCTAGAAGTCAGAATTCAGGGCGCCAGCTCCAGGGGAAGGCTTTCTGTCTCTATCGACTCTGGAGGAAGGTCCTTGTCATCATCCTTCCACTGGTCAAGGAGCTTCTCATTGGAGGGACCCTGGGTCCAAAGGATGCACTATGCTCCTGGTGCTTTTTTCTTGGTGGTATGAAGTCCCCCTGTCTCTCTGCTTGCTTCTGTCTTTTATCTCTCAAAAGAAATTGGCTCAAGACAACCCAATCTTGTAGATTGAGTCCTGTCTCATTAACATAACTGCTGCTAATCCCATCTCATCAACATCATAGAGATAGGATTTAGAACACATAGGAAAACCACATCAGGTGACAAAATAGTGGACAGTCACACGATACCGGGAATCATGGCCTAACCAAACAGATTTTTGGGGGACACAATTCAATCCATGACAACAACATAATGGTGGGAGATTGGGAGTTAGAGTCGTACAGATACGGGTGTGATTTCTGGTCCCATGCATACTATTTGGGTGACTTGAGGCAAGTTATTTAATTTATTGTCCGTTCAGTTTCCATATTAATAAAAGTGTGCTAATAATACTTGTCTTCTTTAGTGAGAGTGCAGAACACAAATCCTTGCGTGTAATTGACACCAAATGTGAGTTAATGTCTTGGATCTTGTACCTAGACAAGAAGATGTGCTAAAGAATATATATTGCTTTTAAAAGAAACAAACTAACATAAATTATTCTCCCATATACTGTATACATGACTACTTAAAAGAACATGGAAAACCCACTGCTAACATCATACTCAATGACAAAAGACTGAAAACGTCCCCCTAAGATCAGGAACAATAGAAAGATGCCCTATTTTACCACTTCTATTCAACATTGTACTAGAGGTTGTAGCCAGGGCAGTTAAGCAAGAAAATGAAATAAAAGGCATCCAAATTAGAAAGGAAGAAATAAAACTCTCTCTTTACAGATGACATGATCCCATATATGGAAATCTCTAAGGACTGACAAGAAAGCTACTAAAGCTAATAAATGAATTCAGTAAAGTTGCAAGGTACAGGATCAACACAGAAAAATTAGTTGTGTTTCTATATGCTAGCAGTGAACAATCTGAAAAGGAAATTAAGAAAACAGTTCCATTTACAAAAGAGTAAAATACCTAGGAATAAACTTGATGAAGGATGATACACTGAAAACTTCAAAGCATTGCTGAAAGAATTTAAAGAAGACCTAAATAAATGTAAGATAGCCCATGTTCATAATATTGTTAAGATGCAATACTACCCAGACGATCTACAGATTCCATGTAATCCCTATCAAAATCCCAGCAGTCTTTTTTGCAGAAGTGGAAAAGCTCATTCTCAGATTCATGTGGAATTGC